AGTCCCACCTCGGGCTCCCCTGGGATCGAGTCCTGCATCAGGGAGCCTGCTTCTCCCTCTGTCTGTGTCTCTGCCTTTCTGTGTCTCTCATGAATAAATAAATAAAATCTTTTAAAAAGTAAAGCGAGGGAGGAACCCATGTGAGGTCTCTAGAGAATTCAAGGGCTGCTTCTAAAAGAAGTTTCTCAGGGCTGGGAGACTCCGGCTTCCATGTGTGTCTCGTGGTAAATGTGAAGCAGGCTCCTGTCACTTTCTGTGACTCACAGAATAAAGAGCCCAAGTCCTCAGAAGCACAAGGACTCCGAAGGTGTCCTAGCACAGATGGAAAAACTCCAATGCCGACCCACCCTGGACAGGCTCCGGCTTAACTATACCACTGCTTCTCTTCACAGACCAAAAGGGAAACCCAATTCGAGAAAACTGATAGGGTTTTCTGTTCCCTGGAAAATGGACTGGACAAATTGCCCACAAAAACCTAAAACCTCCACTGCCAACTGTTGAAAAACAACAGAGCCTCCATTAGCAGTTCCTTTGCCCACAGATTGCTCTCTGAGGAAGTGCGGGGTTTGGAAGGAGTGCCGAGGCCTAGTCCCTGTCTAAGGCACATCAAAGTTTTAATCAAAACCTGCTTTTCTTTCTGAAACCAAGCAACTGCTGTTTCACACCCACAGACTGCCCGAGCTCATTCAATTACCCTCAGCGACTTTGTTTAAAATGAAAATGCTTTGCCTCCTGAGGACAGTGGGAGAGGACTGATTAATGCTGTTCCCAGAAGGACAGAAATGCAGGCGCGCAGGCAAAAGCCTAAGTAGCTGGAAACTACCGCTGGGCCGGATTTTACAAGCCATTCAGACCTACCTGCAAGGATTCTGAACCGAATAAGGACTCTGAAGGCAGTTGGCTGTGTCAAGGGGTATCTACTATGCATCCTCCTCTTCCCCCTTGATGGAAATCACAGAATTAGAAAACTAAGATGATGAGAAGTGAAAAAGAAAGACCAAATTATTCCATATGGTTTTTCAGATGAGGAAACAGCTTTTTTTTTTTTTTTTTGCCTTTTTTTTTTTTTTCCTGACACATTATTCCGAAGGATCTGTAACTAGCAAACCCAACCAGCACATCGCCGGGTTCTGTGGCTCTGTGACTCACAAGTCACTTTTCCATCCAACATATTAAATGTCAAGTAAAATATCTCCGATAAGAGAGAAGAAATTTCTTCAGGAAGCTTGGCTCCTGGGTGAGCGTTTCTCTTGTGCAAATGAGCCATAGACTGTGCGGCTGTCTTGCTCATGGTTTGCTAACCCGTGAGAGAAACATCTTCCCAAGACTGCATAACGAAGCATACATCGGGGCACCGGGGTGGCTCAGTTGGTTAAGCGTGAAGACTCTTGATTTTGGCTCAGATCATGATCTCAGGGGCCTGAGATCGAGCCCCACCTTGGGCTCCACACTTAGCAGGGAGTCTGCTTGAGATTCCCTTCCTCCCTCTCTCTCTCTGCTCCTCCCCTACTCTAAATAAATAAATAAATACTTTAAAAAAGAAGCATAATTCCTGGGGACCATATCTTGGTTCTCAACAAATGCAACCCTCCCCCCCACCCCCAGGCCCCAGCAAAGAACTTCACCCATGTAATCACAGTAAATATCCAAGACAGAAAAGCCAGAGAGAAACACTGAGAGGCGAGGAAGAAAAAAAATCACAGGGAAATGTTTGTGTGTGTGTAGTATGCAGATTTTGAAGGCTCCTGTATATACAAAAATGCACGGGTTCCAGGGTAGTCCTACTCAAAAAAGGCAGTATTTATCCATCATGGATGGTTTGCCACCATTTCACAGTGCTCTAAGGTTACAACCTCTGATGTGAAAGAAGATGTAATATTTAAAGCTAGTTCTTGCACAGTTTGGTGAAAGAAAGGGAGGAGGAGGAAAGAGAGAAAGAATTATATGAGGACTACACTTCACTTCTCTTTTTTATAACAGATTATTTTCTTTAAGAGAAGCATAAGCTGTGATTAAAGTGGCAATGTAATTGCTGAATTTTTGTGCCTCTAACACCTGCAAAGGAAGCACGTTGACGAGAAACCCTCAGCAACCCAATTATTTCATGCAGGTTTTCATCCGTTCCCAAAAACCATCCTCAAAATAGAATGGAACTTCTCCTTCACCAATCTGGTAGGTGCCTTCCACAAAGCAACCGGAAACCGAAATAACATTGTTTACCAATTATTCTCAACAAACAAAATTTAAATAAAATAGGATCCAAGGTTTTTCACACAGCACTTCCAAACTTTAATTATATCAATTATTTAATAGGCGCCGTTCACATCTTGATAGGAGGCTAAAAATGGAACCAGATTTGTCCCCAGGGAGATAAGGGATCTCAAACTGTTCCCAGAAGTGGGAGAACAGATTAGATAACTGGTCTTTTCAGTTTTGAGGAACATTTTAACTCAACTGAAAAAATGGGGAAATGAAACAAATTCAAGATTCCCACTATCTAGGAATGTGAGGAAGTTAGAATGTAATAGCTTGAAAAAAAGTAAATAAATAAACAGATAGCTGGGGAAAAGGAAATCCAGGGACAGTTCTTCCTTAGGAGGCTAAAAAAAAAAAATCAAACAATATTTTCAAAACAGCAATAAGCCTAGTTCCTTCTTATACATTTTTAACCAAAGACATCTAGAATCACGCAAAATAGGCTGAAATAGACAGTTTTTGTTGTTGTTGTTGTTTTGTTGTTTTTTACCTATCAGTGTCTCGGGAGTAGGCAATTCCTGGGTACTGCCACTCTGGGAAATACAATCCTTTCCAACAAGCACAACTATCACAACATGCACAAAACAACTCACAAATCAGAATGCACATCTGTTGTCATTCCCAACTGGGGGAGAGACCAGCCTGGAAGTACAACCATTACGGGAAGGTTTCCAGGTGATGACTCCTGACCTGAACCTTCAAGGACAGAAAGGCCATGAATCATATGAGAAAGGAGGATAAGGGCCTCCCAAGTGAGGATCAGCAGAAGCTCAAGGAACCTATTTCCACAGGTTACAACAAATAACACCTGGGGAATGGCTGAGGCTAAAGACTCAGGTCAGGTTCGTGACCCCTGAAGCTACGATTAGTGAGTGCCTGTAACACACCAGCCTCTATCCACATATTTCCTTTTGGTTTTTTCCTCATTTAATTTGAATAAAGCTGAGCCTCAGGGCTCAGACCCAGATGGCTCATTTCTGTTAGCCACCCTCACTCCCTAGTAGATCTACAGTCTCATGGCTTTAGTCCCACTTGTACACTGATGGCTCCCGTTATCTCTCTCTTTCTTCAGCCTGGATGTTTCCTCCAGCTCTAGACTCCTATGCCCCATGCCTGTTTGACATTTCCACTTGGAAGTCTAAAGGAGATTTCAAACTCAACATGTTTAAACCCAACTTCCTGATTTCTAGCCATTCCCCTCCAAAACCAAAAGCTGAACAAGGAAAACTTCTCCTCCCTCCCTCATCTTCAAAACAGATCCAGAATCGGACCCCTCCTCACCCCTCCATCTCTACCACCCTCCCCAGCCTGAATCATTACAGCAGACCCCAAAGGGGATGGATGTAAACTTCCTCCCGAGTGACCCTCTGAGTCTGTGCATTCCAACCCTTTCCATTTGCAGGACAGGCTCCAGTTACAGATACTGTTGTCTGAAGTGGTGACCAAGATTTAAGACTGATTCTTGGACAGGTGACAACAGAAACAACAGAGGCTGAGGGCGGATGTGAGAGGAAAACATCGGGGTGGGGTTGAAGGGACATCTGAGGACATGGAGAGAAACAAAAGAAATCGCACTTTTAAGAAATAAGTCCTGGGTCAAACGTCCCCTCACAGTTAGCCTTTTTTGACTCCTCGGCCAGAGTTCGAGACCTTAATACACACCATTGGTCACATTACCGGAGGCCTAAGCTGAATGCCTCCCTCACCAGACTTTGACCTCCTTTTGTGCCCCCAGCACCTGATACAGCATCTAGGACCTGGGAAGCCCTTGGCAAATGTGTGTTGGAGGCATTACACGGTGCCATGGAAAGTGCGTTAGGAGCTCGACGAATGGAGTAGAAGAGCCACTTAAGACTTGGGCAGTGAGGTTTCAGGGACAGAAAAAAAAGTGTTTGAGGTTATCTAGAAAGGCTCCCTGGCCAGGGAGCTACAGGGTTATCTACCCTGTAGATGCAGGTGCCGTGTGGTGGTCAGAGGCAAGGCCTGGGAGGGGGGGGCACGGAAAGCAAGGGAAGAAATGGGGAGTGTGACACGGAAAAGCAGGTTAGACTGAGAAGCGAAAGCAAGCAGCCGAGGCAAAGGAAGAGTTTTCCATCTCCCCAAAGGCAGGCGGTGAGGGCGACCGACACAAGGGGCCCTGTGGGTAGGAGGCCCGGGCAGGCTCACCCCGCAGTTCTTCATCTTTTCATCCCCAGTGCCTAGTAGGTCGCTGAGCTCCAAAAGGAGGGCAGGGAGGCCAGCGGCTGAGCACCCTGGGGTCAAACTTGAGCCAGTCCCGGGTGCGGAGGTGCGAGCCAGGAAGTTAATGCGGCAGGAAGCGCGGCGTTACCGGGGCCTGGAAGGCAAACCGAGGCTGGCACCTCCGGCCTCGAGCGTCCAGGCCCCTGCAACACGGGCGGTGGCACCGCAGGCAAGGAGGCTGGAGGGGGGCCGAGGGGGGCCGAGCGGGGCCGAGGGGGGCCGAGGGCAAGCCACCAGGAGGGCAAGCTCACCAGGGGAAGCGGAGCCTGCAGGCCAACCCCCAACCGCTTTGGGGCCCTTCGCCTCCTAGACTGCAAGCGCCCCGAGGGCAGGGCTGGGTGCTCCGCCCCGGGCCACGCCACGCCCAGCAGGTGCGGGAGGCAGCGGCAGGCTCGGCGCCGCGGGCACGGGCGGGGCCCCCGGGGGGTGCGGGGGTCCCTGAAGGCCCCGGGCGGCCCGCGGGGCGTCGCTCCAAGGCCCGAGGTCGCGGCGGCCGCACTGACCTTCCGGCGGGGGCGCCCGCGGGGGGCGCAGCAGCCCGGCTCCGGCGTCCCGCTCCCGCCGGCCTCGGTGGGCGCTCGGCGCCCGCTGCGCACGTAGGTCACCTGCCTCCTGCTGGCGCCGCGGGCCGGGCCGGGCGCGGGCGGCGGGGGCGGCGGCGGGGGCGGGGGCGGCCGGGGCGCGGGCGCCGGGGCGCGGGGGGGCCGCAGCTCCGCGCACAGCCGCAGGCCGAGCAGCAGCGCGGCGCCGAGCACGCACCGCCGCAGGGCCCCGCAGCCCCTCCCGGGCGGCCGCTCCCGCGCCATGGGGCAGGCGGCCCCGCGGGCCCGAGCCGCGCGCCGAGGGAACTGCCCGGCGGCCCCGGCGCGCCCGGACCCGCCTCCCTCCCCGCCGGCCGGGCCGGCCTCGGGGCGTAACCGCTCCCGCCCCGCCGAGCGCCCGGGCCGCGGGAAGGGGCGAGGGGCGAGGGGCGCGGGGCCCGGGCGGGGCGCGGCCGGAACCCGAGCCCTGGGGGCGGGGGCGGGGCGGGGGGTCCCGGGGGGGGGGCGGCCTCCGAGCCTGGGGGGTGGAGAGGCTACTTGCCGAGCCCTGGGGGCGGGAGGGGGTCCCCGGGGAGGGGGGCGGCCTCCGAGCCTGGGGGGCGGCCAAGCTACTTTCCGAGCCCTGGGGGCGGGAGGGGGTCCCCGGGGAGGGGGGCGGCCTCCGAGCCTGGGGGGGGTGGACAAGCTGCTTTCCGAGCCCCGGGGGCAGGGGGTCCCGGGGGGGGGCGGCCTCCGAGCCTGGGGGGCGGGGGGTCACGGGGGGCGCGGCCTCCGAGCCCGGGGGGGGTGGACAAGCTACTTTCCGAGCCCCGGGGGGGCGGGGGTTCCCGGGGGGGCGGCCTCCGAGCCCGGGGCGTGGACAAGCTGCTTTCCGAGCCCTGGGGGGGGCGGGGGGGCAGGGGGTCCCCGGGGAGGGGGGCGGCCTCCGAGCCTGGGGGGGTGGACAAGCTGCTTTCCGAGCCCCGGGGGCGGGGGGACCCGGGAGTGCGGCCTCCAAGCCTGGAGGGGTGGAGAGGCTCCTTTCCGAGCCCCGGGGGGCGGGGGGTCCCCGGGGGGGCGGCCTCCGAGCCTGGGGGGGGGGGACAAGCTACTTTCCGAGCCCCGGGGGGCGGGGGGTCACGGGGGGGCGGCCTCCGAGCCCGGGGGGCTGGCGGAGAAAGGCGCATTCCCGCCGGGGTGCGGGGCTGACGTCACGCTCTAGCGGTCGCGTGGCCGCAGGTGCGCGGCGGGCTCGGCGCGGGGAAGCGCAGGAGAAGGCCTCGCGCTCGGGCCCCGCCGTACGGCTTCTGCCCCCCGAGAACGACGGGAGGGGGCGGCCGGAGCAGCGCCCGAATTAAGAGCCACCCCATCTCTGAATCCTGCCCGAAGCCATCGGGGCCTCCCCCCCGCGTTATGCAATGTGCGATGTGTGGGGGTGAAGGGGAGGGACCGCCAGCGACGACATCTGACGGCGGGCGGGGAGAGAGAACAGAAGTTACCGGGGCTTGATGTAAATCAGTTTAGCTCCAAACACACCCCTCCCTGCCCTGCTGCCTCGCAGAGATACAAAAGGACGAATTTATCTTTCGGCAAAATGCTCCCCAGCTGGTATTTCCATCACCACCTTGACCTTAATTAATCAGCCTGAACGCTCACAGCCTGAAGTCCGGCGCTGACTGTTCATTTGCGATTGTTAAGATCCTTTCCCACAACCTGGAGGAGGTCTGGGCTTGGGGTTTGGGTTGGGTGTGGGTTGGTTTTCTTTAGCTGTGGCCACGTGTTTTTATGCGCTACACTTTGATTTCCTTTACCTCCACGTGAGGCTACCCCCCCCCCCCCGCTCGCCTGCCCCCTCCCCGGACACCCTGCGGCCTGGACAACTGGAGCCTCCCCCCCCCCCCCGCCCCCATCTCAGGAATCTGCCATCAGGAGCCCTCCTCTCTAAAAAACTAATTTAACTAAGACCCAATCTATTCTTTGTCACTCTACAAAGCACTTGAGCTATTTCTCTGCATCTAACAACCCCATCTAGTCCATTCCCTGGGCCACATCAGTCCTGAGGCTCCTGATTGTTTCATTATGATTGACTTTGGGGTTGTTGTTTTTTTTCTTAGATGCAGCCCTCCGGCTGTCGCAGATTGGCTTTGTTTTAAAGAATCCAAGCAAGTACATTTTCCTGATACGAATTTTCAGGAAAAACCTCGCATCCTGTGACTATGTAAATAACGAATTTGGGTGTCAGACTTGAACTATGTGCTGAATCAGGACTCTGCCTTTCAGAAGCTGTGAGACTTGGGACACGGTACTTAACCTCTCTCAGCCTCCATTCTCCCATGTGTAAATAGACCTAGATGTCTGGTAGGGTACAAAGATTGCATAAAATATTAAATGTTCAGTAACCTAAATAATACGTGGCTCCCAGAAGGTACTCATTTGATGGTAATTCTTTTTTTTTTCCCCATTAAAGAAAACCCTGGATGTTATCATGAAAAATGAAATTGAAGCATTGATTCCAAAGTAGGTAAACATAAGAACGGATAAGGCGATTTATAAATATACATTGTCTAGAATTAGAGGAGTATCCATCAGTGGGGAAAAAAAAAACCAACTATTAAGACTCACAAATGTACTCCATTAGGTTGTATAGTGGTGTAAAACTGTTTAAGACACTATGCATATTGTTTTCGATGAACCTGAATCACCAATGTCTGATGTAGACTTTGCTAGAGGTTTTATTTTCTAAGCAACCAACGCACCGCCCCTAACTTAAGAAATAATCTTTTGAAGATTATGATATCACTAACTTATGCACTCTGTTCATGGTTGAGTTACTCTCCAGAGGGAAAACATGAGGAGTATCCTATATTATGAAAATGGGGACATTTAATAAAATCTGGACTGGAGGTGGGAGGGGGCACACAGAACAGTGTAGCTCTTGAAGAAAATGGGCAAGATGATCTCATATTTTCCCTTATCTCATTTCTGTGATTCTCTAATAATGTTTCCATTATGAGGGGAAAAAAACAAATAAAGTGCAATATTTAAATGCTCTTTTCCCTCATCTTTCCGGACTGTCTCTATGTGTTTATTACTAATAAAAAGGAACCATTTATGTGTACCACAGCATCATTAATTTTCTAGGAAGAAATGTCCCATTTTTAACTTCCACACTTTTCCCTGTGTTGTGGATGATAACCAATAGTGAAATGGGTTTGTTGGTAGGCCGGTGAGGACAATCTGATCACTGATCACGGCCTTAGCTGACAAGAAATCTTTCATTCATGTTGGCTTTTCTCGCAGAGTTGAACTTGTCATGTTTGTTTCTGGATGTGTTTCAAAAATGCAGACAATCACTAACCACTGAGTCGTAGGTTGGTTACTTAAATGTGCAGGTCAGTAAATCACAAAAGCAGTTTTCATCAGATCACAAATTATCCTTCTTGAGGTTTCAGCCGCAAAATGAGTAAAAGAGATCATTTTTACTGCTAATCTCATGGACACCATACTTTAAATTAGCACACATGCTGTAGTGTAGTGGTTCTTGATCAGGGGTAATTTTGCCACCCCGAGGATAGTTGGCAATTTCTGAGACATTTTTGGTTGCTACAATGGGTGAGGATGGAAGGAAGATGCAACTGGCATCTAATGGGGAGAGACCAGGTATGCTGCAAGATAGCCTCGAATACAAAGAATGGTGTCCTCCAACAAAGAATTATCCAACCCCAAATGTCAATAGAGCTGAAGTTGAGAAACCTTACTTTAACAACAGATGTTAATATGGCAACTTTTAATTACAGACTGTACGAAGAGAAAACAGAAGCCACGAGACGAGGCTCTTCACCTCTCCGAAGTGATTATTTCCCTTTCACTGTGAAGTATCCTGCCTGAATTAAAGTAATCAAATTTAGAAAGGAGTAGAACTAGAACATCTGGCATCAGCATCTTTCCCCCACTCCCACCCCCACCCCATCCATGTAATACACGCTCTTTGAGGAGAATATACACAAAGCAAAAGAAGATGTCAACAATCATTCACGTACCACGATTCAGAGAAAGCTGTCCTGTAAGACTTCTATGTGCATAGTTTACAAAAATGAAAACATATTATACTTATTTCTTTATAATCTGCTTTTGTCTATGATACAAATATTTAGCTATTGAATCATATGATGGCTGGGATTTGATTAGAAACAATCCAGTGGGAGATAACTTGGGGTATAAATGAACCAGGAAGAACCTTGAGTTTATAATTGTTGTAGCTGGATGCTAGGGTTCACAGATCTCTATAATTGAGCACGTTTGAAATTTTCTGTAGTAAAAATGTCATTAAACAGTAACCTGTTAACCTGTAACACCATTCTTAATGGCCACATGTGTTATGATCTAACCAATCTTCTGCTGTTGAGCAATTAGATCATTTCTGAGTTTTCATTTTGTAAACAATACTGTGATGGACATCTTTGTAGCTAAATCTGATGGATCTGAGATGGACTGAAGGGAAAGAAAGAGGTCACGAATGATTCCAAGGATTTTTCTGAGTACTTGCAAGAACAAGTTGCCATTAATTAAGAAAGAAAAGATTTAAAATTAAGAGTAACTTGGGATGGAATATCAAGAGTTTGATTTTGATGGTCACATTAAATTTTGGAAGCCTATCAGACGTGTAAGTGGAGATGTCGAGTAGGTAGACAGTCCCATTTAAGGACTGGAATTCAGGGGAGGAGTGAGGGCTGGAAATATATATTTTAGATCATGGGCATATCGATGTTGAATAAAGGAGCGAAGAAATATTTGATTTCTCCAGGTCCGTTATTTTACGATAAAAAAGATGAGGAGTCAACAAATAGGCACCAAAATAGGTAGAAAGTAAAGGAACAGAATGTGATGTCCCAGAAACCACGTGAAGAAAGTATTTCTAGAAGGAAGACACTGAGAGGTCTAATAAAATGTGAGCTGAAAAACTGCCTGTGAGATTCGGCAACCTGATGCCTTGTTTATTATCATCTTTCCCAACTACAAGGGAAGCTCCATGAGTTCTGGGACTTTGCTTCGGTTATTTCTACAATCCCAGTTCCTAGAACTGTTTTTGAACTATAGTATGCGGTCAATAAATAACTGTTGAAACAAAGAGGGACAAATAAATCTGTGTGCATTTGTAATTAGTTATAATTCCTAAGAGTAGAATTACTAAGTTCAAGCAAAATTGTAGGTCTTTTGATATGAAGGGCTATTACTAATTTTTCAGTCCACCAAAAAAGCCTGAATCAATCCCACTGAAAGTCCATCCACTATTCCCTTGTTGTTATCAGTGGGAAACCTCAAAAAATAGCTTGAGCCAGCCTCTGGCAGACAGATGAACCAAGCAGTCTATTTTTAGTCCCCTCCCACTCTGCTTTCACTGCCTTAGGACCCACATTTGATTCCCCCTCAAGTGCCCATCTCTAGGATTGTGTCCATTCGTTTCATCCTCCCCACCCTAAGGACGTAGCTGAATATTAAGATAGCAGCTCAACATCATGGTAAAGGAAGAACTCAACCAAGATGAAAGCTTCCAAGACCTAGAAGAGCAAAGCTGTAATAGACTCACAGACACTGGAACTGCTGCTTGGGGCCGGGAGCCCTGCCTAAAATCACATCACTGCTTGGTCCACAACCTAATAAAGCTGGCTCTGAGCTAGCCTTATGGAAAATGCCTGGGGAATGGCCTAATGCCCTGACCTGCCTGGGAGAGAGATCCTGAGCCTATCCTGCTTCCTCTGAATCTCCAAACGCTGTGTCCTCCCATTCCCGGTGTTTAACTTATGCTAGCACGTGTGGACTTGCTTTATCTTTCCTCTACCTAGGCTGTTTCTCAAACATACAGCGTAGTCTTACCTCTGTATGGCTGCAATGCCCTGCATGGGATGGTCCTCAAGCACATCTCTGGAACTGTTGACAAACAACCGACATCACACCCAACCAGGCTGAAGTCAGACCCAAGATAGCACATTTCTTCCAGCACCTGTTGCTCATCCATCCTACCCCCAAAAAAGAATCATACTCAAACCTGTATTGGATGACTCAAAGGTACTACCTCCAACCTGGTACCTTTTTTTACCCGAGGGACTTGGGAAAAAGCAGGAAATGCTTCATGTAAGCTATTGGAAAAGAGGAACTAAAACCAAAGATGTGCATATGGGGAGGACAGTACGTGGATGGGGTGGAAATTATGGGGGCTGATGGCTCTTAGGTAAACCCTCAACCCAGACAGGAAGTTCAAAAGAGACACACTCCACACATACACACACAGACTGGATTCTGAAAACACATGTGAGATATCATTAGATAAATTTATTTACAGACGTTAACTCTCACAATGAGACAGTCCTGGGTTTCATGACAATAAAGCAGCTCAGGTTAAGAATTATCAAAACATTGCCTATTTCATAGGACCACCTATGGAGCATTTCCCCTCCCTCACCCTTGGCTCATCTTATCATTATGACACATGCCAGAAATAATCTCCCAGCTACAGATCACTTTGAAGTCAGAAACATTCCTGGCTGAGATTTTCCCAAAGTCAGGGGCTTAAAAAAAACCTTTTAAGGTCAGAAAAGATCACCAGGGAACTGACAGGATAAAGTGAAGCTCAGCATGCCCAAAGGCAAAAATCTCCAGGCTCTGTCATTTCAACTTAGCTTGTGAATATATTAAAAATCCCGAGGTCAAAAGCCATTTTACTTTCTCATCACATTACGGCTCTAGCCCTGGAAAAAGCATACAAACTGCATTATTTTCAGATCATGATGCAGGGATTCTCAGACTCAAGCATGTGTGAGAACCACCTGGGGAGCTGCTTAAATGTAGGTCAGAAGCCCCACCTCCAGAGATTAACAGAGACGAGCCCCCCCCCATCTTTATTTTAACGTGTTTCAGGTGGTCCACGGTTAAACTGTTAGCAGTCTTGGCACAGAGGTCCCCCAGCCATGGAAACTGGTTGAGGCTCAGGGGTGGGATGTAGGGAGCGGTTGTTTCAAGGTGACCATGTATCTGTGGGTGCAAATATTCCCCCTCAAGCCTCTAAGTACACTTACTAAGAAAGTTTTAAGTTTTAACAAAGGGGCTTCAGAATTCAAAAGTTCAGGAGCCCCATGGCCAGCTGTTCTCTTCTTCCCATGACTCCTGCCTGCCTGCCCTCCCGCCCCCGGGAGCTCTAGCCGGGCTGCAATGCCATTCAGCTCAGGGGACCCCGGAGAGTTAAGGAGACGTGGTCTCGGGAAGGATTAAGGAACAAAGCCAAAAAGTCAGTGAGAAGCAAAAGGCCCTAATGTAAGGTAGGCTTCCCTTAAACTACTCACTGGCAGTGTAGACTTACACCAGTTACCTTTCCTTTCCGTGCCTCAGTTTCCCCACCTGTGAATTAGGGATAGGAGCGCCTGGGTGGCTCAGAGGTTGAGTGTCTGCCTTTGGCTCAGGTCATGGTCCCAAGGTCCTGGGATCGAGTCCCGCGTCGGGCTCCCTGCAGGGAGCCTGCTTCTCCATCTGCCTGGGTCTCTGCCTCTCTCTCTCTGTGTGTGTGTGTGTGTGTGTGTGTGTGTGTGTGTCATGAATAAATAAATAAAGTCTTTTTTAAAAAATGGGGATAATAATAGTAGCTTCCTATGTAATGACTAAATAAGTGGGTCTATGTAAAGAACCGAGACTCCCATGCCTGCCCCATAGGAAGTGCCACCGTGAGTATGCCAAGTGTCACGACTGCTCACTGGAAGTCAGAAAGGACATGGCTTTTCATCCTGCACTGGGTCATATTCCTCTTGCCTTCGCGTTGACAGGTTTGCTTGGGGCCTGGGCTCACGGCCTGCACTGGCCCGACTAAGAGGGGCAATGAAAACCGCACCTGGGGCCTGTGCTGCCCGCCCAGCCCACTCACTGCCTTTTTCCTTGACGGTCATCCCAAGCCAGGGAGTGTCCTTCTACGCTTTCCACGATTTCTGGGAAAGCAGCCCGATCCAATGGAACCGATGGGTCTCTTCCTTCCGGCCTTGATGGGCAGGTCCTAAACGTGCCCTTCCTCTCCTGCCCCACTGATTCCTGTGGCTCTGGGGCCCAGAGAAGCACACGCGGCTCTCCTCTCGGAGTTCCCCTCCCTCAGCTTTTAGGCGGGGGTGGGGGGTGGGGGTGGGGGGGGTGGGGGGGGGGAGTTCCCTGCCAGGGCCACCGCCCCTAGGACAGCACAGGTCCCGCTCACTTGATCTGACCTTGCACCTGACACAAAGGCCATCGTGGAGCACATGTGCCCCCTCCCCTGACACCTCCTAAAGGAATGTTCCCGAGCAGAGGCCCCCTGAGGATCTGCAGGGAGGGAGGAGGCCTGGATCTGTGTCCCTCCTCTGTCCCCCACCCCTGCTCCCCCGATGACTTAGACGGTTGCTCAGGGAGAGGACACAAAGCTGTCTGCGAGAATGCTGCTGTTGCCAGGAGGACAGGAAGCCGGAGAATGAGCTGCCCTCACAAAGGGAGGGCAGGAGAAAGGCGGCTCTAAGCTGGACCACAAAGAAGGGGGGACGGTTTCCCGCGCCTTGCTAACACTGTGGGTGTGTAGCTCCCATTAGTTGCTTCAACCGCAAAGTATGAGATCACTGGAATAGGTTTTTATTAGCTGCGGCTCTTATTTTAACATCTTTGTGGGTTCTTTAATTCAGCCTCTCACGTGGGGTGCGGTGGGGGGAATTGTTATATAAAAACCAGGAAACAAATTCCGGTTATTGCTCTAACTTTGGCCCCCAGGTATCCCAGCACCTAACTCTCGGCAGCAATTGTTCACCAGCCTAAGTCCCACGGCAGATGCGGATGCGGGGATGGGGATGGTGAATTATTTATTTTTGCCTCCCTGCAGTAACCAGTGTCTTGCACAGAGAGGAGCTCAGTGAAATGTGTGCAACCGCAGGTTCCGAGCACCCTGCCATGCTGGATGGGGTGTATATGAAACCAAACATCAGGCACCCCCCATCCAGCCAGGCACCCCCACTGGCTATACTCCAACCCCCCACTGCCCTTTCCTGTCTCCAGACCTTTGCTTATGCTATTCTTAACGGCCTGAAAGGATCGCCCAGTCCTGGAGATGGGGAGGTCATGGGCAGGTTTGGAAAGGAGCAAGCCGAGCAATTTGGATTTTCTTTAATGAGCAATGGGGAGTTGCTGATGGTTTGTGAGCAGAAGACACTTGGATGGATTCGAGGTAGAACCTGATTAAGACCTTTATAGAGGGATCCCTGGGTGGCGCAGCGGTTTGGCGCCTGCCTTTGGCCCGGGGCGCGATCCTGGAGACCCGGGATCGAGTCCCACGTCAGGCTCCCGGTGCATGGAGCCTGCTTCTCCCTCTGCCTGTGTCTCTGCCTCTCTCTCTCTCTCTCTCTGTGACTATCATAAATAAATAAAAATTTTAAAAAAGACCTTTATAGACCCTAAGAATGCATGCAGATCAGGGCACTCCCAAACCTCCACCTTATAGACCTCAAAATGAAAATAGTACCAAATAGTGAAACACAAAACATCAGATATATTGACAGTGAAAAAACTTGAGTCTACGTCTTCTGAATGTAAAATTCTGAATGCAGAAAGAGGACTCTTCCCCACACCTTTTTCTGCCTTTCCTTTCTACCCAAAACTGCAGTGGTTTCATCCTCTCAGAAGTTGATAGAATTTTATAAGGCTTGAACGCAGAGATCTAACAAAATTCAGTGGCCATTGCCCACCTGTGCATGTCCTTCACACAAAATTAGGTGATGGTGCAGCATAATTGCTTCAGGATAAATCCTCTTGCTTTGGCTGCAGCCTCACAGAAGGCACTGGGAATAGCCTCAGAGCACTGCTGTAGGATAGCCAAGTGTCTAAAGTGTCTTTTCCTTGAAACCCTTAAAAGCCGATGAACTCTCAAGATAATCTTGATTTTGTCCTCCTAAGTTTGGTGGGTAATGATGAAAATAGTTCGCGAACCACAAAATACAATCATATGCCAGCATTCGATTTCAGAAGGGTGAGATTGTTATTGTAACTGGTGAGCACTGGCACTGCATGTAACCAGTCAAATCCTTCATTTTGCCTAATTCTGGTTTAAAAGCAAAAGGGTGCTGATTTCACCAGCGTCCTCCAGCCCTGGGCTGCTTTAACAAATTAAACACGAAAAGGAGATACCGTAAAGTGTCACTGATAAATAAAAATCAGAACTAAATCCACAATCTGTCACCATCAGGTCTCTCTAAAGCAGAGAAACCCTTTTTAACATAAAAGTCTTCATCTTGTCGCCCGCCATGCTCTAATGAAATACAACTATTTCTGTGTAGCTTGCTTCAAATCCCATGTTAAACAAAGAGAAGTTCCATTATCTTTCGGGCTTTAACATCCCAGGATAAATTGGCTGTTCGTCTATTATTCACCCACCACTGTTGGAAATTAAGTCTTTGTTACCGACGGGGGTAAATCTGAGCTGGGCAGATCAATAGAATTATTTCTCTCCTCAGACAATCGAAGTTAGGAAGAGAATGATTAGCAATGTCTTCTTTTTTCTTTTTTCTTTTTTTTAATTCTGCCTTTCATTAGCAGTTCATGCTCCAGAAAAGGCCTTTTGAGTTGCTGAACAAAAGGCGGTTCCTAAGGTTCAACAGCTTCATGTATCAGGGAAGTTTTCTGCAACTCTGAAACCTCTCTAAGTACCTGTCAAAAAATAAATTAATTAACTAAAAAAAAAAAACACATATTCTGTATGCAGTCTGGTGTCAGAACCGTAGGAAAGCCTTCATAATTAACACTCTTTGAATGTTATAGGTCAATGCTAAGTCCTGTGTGACTACATGGAAGACCATCAATAGCCATAAGAGCCGAATAAAAAGAAGAAAGCACAGACTAAACAAAATGCTTCGGCAATAAGAATAGCAGCTCTGCTCTCTGCAGACAGACTGCTCTGACTGGCTTCACGCTTTGGCCCCACGTGGTTTCTTTGGAAACTACTTGTCATGAAATTTTATGATCTGTTAAAAAAAAAAAAAAAGGAAAAAGTGTAAGAATATATCTTCTTACCTACCTCACAAGGATGTTGGAAAGATTAAAATTAGATAGTTGTGAAAGTGTTTCCAATTCTCCTAGGAAAGATTGCAGAAATGCTTTGTGGATAAGCTTGTTCTTGGAACTTTAAAATACTCGTAATGATCCCAGCCCACAGCCTTCTCCCATTAAAAGCCCGGGATTCTGCTGACCAAGCAGGCGGCTCCCTTGTCTCTGAATAGCTCTTTACAATCATTCCAACTTGAAGCCCAGAAGTATTTAATACATGAGTGACAAAGAGCAAAGCAGAATGGCACCAGCCCTCCAAACCCTCCCTGGGTTAGTCAGAAGAGAGATTCCAGCGGCCTTGCCTGGTCTAACAGGGGAGGTAGTCCCGTTACTCTTCTCCCTTCCTATCCCCCTATCCTTTGGGTCCCTCCAAATGAAAGAACTAGCAAATGCCTTGCCCGCTGTTCACATACCTCCTTCACATCTCTGCATATGAGCATCTCCTCTTCCATTAGCCCTAACAGGAGAAGGTGCGACCCACCCTCAGCAAAATGTACCTTCGACGTGTCCACGCTCTGCACACCACACCTCTGTCGACAGGCACTTCCAACTCCAGCAGAGCCCCGATACGTGTGGATGTCCCAGACGCTTCCACCTTCTACTCCACAGCGCTCCCCACCCAAATTCTACATTATCAGAACCAACTCTCAACTGGGATCTGCGTAACAGTCACACGAAGTTGTAAGTCCCGGGAATCTGCTTAGGGAGCTACAGCTTCCTAAATATTTTTGCCTCCTTTTCCTCTCCTTTCAGACTCTGACACACCTTCCCTCCCCATCCTGCAGGCAGATTCTCTCCCACAACCTATCATGCCCAGGGAGTCAAAACAAAGAGGAAATCCCATCACGTTAAAAATCAGTATGTATTACAAGAGATGGTCCAACGGGGGTGTGAGGCACCCAGCAACAGTTTGGAGAGGGGTGTGGAAATGAAATCCTCAGAGTTGCATTTCAAGTGAAATTGGAGGGCTAGAAACTCAGGGGATAGAGGGCATCCCCCGTAGTCACTCAGCTTGGGAGCCACCCATGCGACCTACCCGCTGACCTGATCCTGATTACAGGGCTGCATGCTACCAGGCCCTGGGGACTGAGTGGTGCAGAGCACGGTGGTGGCTTCTCAGCACCACCATGGTGGCTGTAGAACATTCAGTTGCAGACAACAGATGCTACCCTTGAGTTCATGAAAGCAGAAAGGTACCTATTTCCAAGTATTATGTGGCTTCCTAAATCATGGGAAAGTAGAGGAGCAGGTGCTGACCGAGCTACCTAGAACAGCTCACAACCGCCTCTGCCATTGTTGGGAAAGTAGCTGCTATTGCTATGGGGTGCAACCGACTCAGGAAGTAGCTGATGTGGAGCTGTGACGCCTCTGCCACCATCTGCTCCAGCAGGAGTGGATGTTTCTGGCCCTGCCTCTTTCCACATTTTACTCAGTTCCAAATCCAAGTTTCATAGAAATGCGCCAGTCCCAAAGAGCCTAAATCACATATGGAACGCTGTTAAGAGAGTCTTGGAAATGTAGTTTTCAGCTTTCAAGACTCCACAGGACAAAAAGGCACGTTGTAAAAAGGAAGAAGTGTTGAGCAATTCTACTACATTGTATTCCAAATGAATCAGGAAAACGGAAGACCAGTCTGGAAATATTACATACCTTTATTTAACTACTTTCTGTGAAACATTTTTTCAAGTGCCTTCCACTTTTCCCAGGCTCAGGTAAAGAAAAAAAGAACAAAATTCAAATTTTTTTTCTCAATGCCCCAAAACCAAAACCATAAACATTGATTACTATGCTGCAAATAGAAGTATGTACACACACACACACACACACACACACACAGACACACACCTTTACTCATAACAACATAAGGTGGCATACTCGTGACTATGTCAGTCCTCATTTCTATAACTGGTCACATGGTTGAAGCCAGTGTTTATAAAACTACCTTCCTCCAGTATCCATTCCATACTCCCTTTGCCTTCAGCAAGCACCTCTGCTGGTCATGGTCCTTTACCTGGTGAGGTGACCCAAACCTTCATTCCTGAAAGGTCTGGGCCACTAGTCCTGCCAGGACTGGGTTGTTGTGTACTACTGACCTTAGTCACAGAGAATGGTAATAGTAAGAGACGCTCTAAAGGATCTCCTATATTCCAAACAAACTTTTCTTTCCATCCATGGTGGATGACTAGTCCAATTCCCACCCCCACCCCTTTGGTAGCCAGGATCAATCACACAGGCAACACCATAACCCCCTTCTTTGCCTGCCAATTCAGAGGACCCCAAAGTGATGGGGTGGTCGTCTTTACTTCCAGTTCAAAAAGATCATTATGTCTACTTCTGGAACCACTGAGACCTCTAAGCAAGCAGAGACTAAGTTATGGGAAGAGGAAGCAAAATTTTTGCTAGTGAGTCACTAACGGTAATAGTAAGCACTGCCATTCCTGTTTCCACCCCTGATTTCTGGATCTGTGAATCCTGATTATGAGAGAAATAGCACTATATACTGGATGCTGATTCAGAAGATAGGACAGCCTTCTGGGAAGCTTGCCCCAGCTCTGCAAGGTATTGCCACCTACATAGCACCATAACTGAGTCTTCAAAAGGCCATTCCTCTGCTGCTTCGGGATGAGTGGGAAACCTGATAAGAACAGTGAGTTCCATAAGCATGGGCCCATTGCCATACTTCTTTTGCTAGGAAGTAAGTTCCTTGATCAGAAGCAATGCTGTGTAGAATAATATGACGGTGGATAAAGCATTCTGTAAGTCCACAGATGGTAGTTTTGGCAGAATCATTGTGTGTGGTGAAGGCAAATCCATATCCAGAGTAGTGTCTATTTCAGTAAGAACAAAACATGCCCCTTTCATGCTGGAAGTGGTCCAACGTACTCAACCTGCCACCAGGTGGCAGGTGTCCTATCAGGGACTTAGTATTGGTCTCGGCTGCTGGCAGATTGACCTTGGCAGCAGTAGCCATAGTCAGGTTGCCTTTGGTGATCGGAAGACCATGTTGTTGAGCCCGTGCATAACCTCTATCTCTGCCACCATGGCCACTCTGTTCATGAGCCCATTTGGAAATGACAGTGGTGGCTGGAGAAAGAAGCAGGTTGGTATCCACAAAACAGGTCATCCTATCAACTCAACTACTAAAATCGTCCTCTGCTGAGGTCACTCTTTGGTAAGTGATGCACATGGGACACAAATATCTTCACATTCTTTGCCCATTCAGAGAGGTCTACCCACATACCTCTTCCCTAAATGTCTTTGCCACTAATTTTCCAATCACGTTCCAATGTCCCAGCCACTCAACCAGACCATTAGCCATAGCCCATGTATCAGAAGATAATCACACAACTGGCCATTTCTCCTCCCAAGCAAAGCGAACAACTCGGTAAAGTTCTACCCACTGGGAGGATTTCTCTTCACCGCTGTTCTTCAGGAATGTACCAGGAAGGGGCTGTAGCTGTTTACTTTCAAGTAGTGCCTGCATACCATGCAGAACCATCTGTAAACTGGGCCTGAAACGTCTCCTCTACTGATCATAAGCACCTCCCCATAAGTCCACAGGTGCAGGCTGGGAAAGAGAAGGCAGTGTAGCAGGAGTGGGGACTATAGGCATTTGGGCCACTTCTTCATGTAACCTAATTATGTCTTCAGGATCTGCTTACATCCAGTTGCATACATTGCACTTACGTTTGATGATGGAGTACTGCTGTGTAAGCTCAACTTTATAGTTGGGGGTCAGATAACACCCAGCTCATGTTGGGCAGCTCAGGTCTCATGGTAACTTGGTAGTCCATGATTAAGTCTTCAGTCCCTAGTAAGGCTTAGTAGCAAGCCAAGAGCTATTTCTCAAAAGCAGAGCAGTAATCTTCAGAGGATGGGAGGGATTTGCTCCAGAATCCTAAGAACCTCTGCTGGTATTTGCCTATAAGAGCCTGTCAAAGTTTCCAAAGAGCATCCCTATGCCACAGACACTTCAAGCATCGACGTATCTACTGGATCGTATGGCCTGAGTGGCAAGGGCAGTTTAACGCAGCAACCTGGACCTGTCGCAGTGCCTTCTCTTGTTTTTAGACCCACTCAAAACTAGTAGTTTTTCAGGTCACTCAGTAAATGGGCCAGAGAAATACACCCAAATGAGAAATATGTTGCCTCCAAATTCCGAAGCATCCCACCAGATGTTGGGCCTCCTTTTTGGTTTTAAGAGGGGCCAGATGCAGTCATTTTCCTTCACCTAAAAGGGATATTGTGACATGCAACTACTAGACACCTAGAAATTTCACTAAGGTAGAGGTCCCCTGAATTCTTGTCAGGTGTATACCACCCACCCTCTGACACGCAAACGTCTTAACAATAAATCTAGGGAAGTTGTTACTTCTTGATCACCAGGTCCCGTCGGCATGATGTCATCAATATGATGGACCAGCACGATGTCTGGTGGAAGGGAAAGGCAATCAAGGTCCCTGCAAACTGAATTATGACATAGGGCTGGAGAGTTGATATACCTCTGAGGTAGGAGAGTGAAGGTGCATTGCTGGCCTTGCCAGCTGCAAGTAACTGTTTCTAATAGACCTTATGGACAGAGACAGAGAGAAAAGCATTTGCCAGCTCAACAGTCACATAACTATTGGCTACTAACAGGGGACCTACTTCTTTGCTAAAACAATGAAACCATATGTGGTACAGCAGCTGCAATAGAGCCACCACCTGAATAAGCTTACGGTAGTCCACGTCATTCTCCAAGATCCATCTGTCTGCTGTACAGGACACACAGATGAGTTAAATTATGAGAAGATGGTGGGAATCACAATCTTTGCAGCTTTCAAGTCCTTGATGGTGGCACTTATCTCTGAAATCCCTCCAAAAATGTAATACTGCCTTTGGTTTACTATTTTCCCAGGTAGAGGCAGTTCTAGTTGAGGCTAGAGGCTCTAGTTGAGTTCTAGAGGCTTCCACTTGACCCTTTCCACCATAATAGCCCTCCATAGGTCAGCAAACCAGCGTGGAACTCTGCCAGCTGCTGAGTCGATCTATTCCAATTAACACATTCCAGAACTGGAGAGATAATCATGCGGTGGGTTTGGGGATCTACTGGGCCCACTGTGAGACAGACCTGAGCTAATACTCCCTTGATCACCTGACCTCCAAAAGCCCCTACTCTGACTACCGGCTCATATGATTGTGGAGCTTGAAAAGTCCCCCAGTCTGCACTGTGCCAGGTAAAGACCCAAAAAGCCAGTGGCGTGGTTTGAAGACCTAGGAGCCAGTGGTGTAGATTCCAGCCGCAGTCTGAAGGCCTGAGAACCAGGAGCACAAAGGGCAGGAGAAGACTGATGTCCCAGCTCCAGTAGTCAAGCAGAGAGAGAAAGAAAGAGAGGGATGGAGGGCAAGTCTTCCCTTCGTGTACCTTTTTGTTCCTCTCAGGCCCTCTGTGGATTGGATGATATCTACCCACTGGGGAGGGCAATCTACTTCATTGAGACTACTGATTCACACGATAATCTCTTCCAGGAACACTGTCACAGACATACCCAGATATAATGGCATCCCATGATGGTGACTATTAAATTAACTGTCACAAGTGGTTACCTTTGGATAGATGTAAAGTGGGAGGAGCATGAGAGAACCT